CCAGGGTTGAAAAGCCGCTTCGCGACTTTCAGCCCCCGCCATCTCATTCTATGATTTTCTTCATTTTGCATAATTGTCCCCCGAGCAGGGGTAGCTGACGCCAAATTTCGGGAGGGGCAGCGACATTTCGGAGGGGGCAGCGAGAAAAATTTTACGAAAAGTTCTCGAAATGGAAAAATCATAAGGGGGGACCCTTACGTTTTTTTCGGGGCCGCGGGATTTCGGGAGGGCAGCCTGCCCTCTGCCCTCCCCCTCCTACGCGCCTGCCCCAGGCTTAAAACTTGAAAAATGCGCGTTCTGCTCCCTTTTATAGGCTACCACAACTTCCGGTGTATGCTAATTAATTTCTAACAAAGAGGGTCTCGGATTTTCAACAAAAGTAAGAATTTAATGTCGAAAATAAGGGATTTGATATATATCTGATATGCGTGCGGTGATCTCCAGACCATTACGCTCTAATGACGTATCAGACATGCCCCTTACTACTCTCCTTCTTGAGATACTGCTGGAACACGCTGACGGAAGTTGCATGCAAAGTGGCACACACACACACACAGACACTATTTTTTTATATATAGTAGGATCTCTTATTAAATCAACCTCCTTGTAGAAATCGTCGACATTGCCCATGGTCCAGGTATCGAATGTGTCGCCCACGTGCATCGTCATGTTTTTCACCTGCAAATCGATAATATATACATATCGACATACATTTCGATTTTATTAAGGAAGCCTATGAAAATTGGTCCGATTAAAAATACCTTTTCAATAACATTTTCCTGTGTTCCACCGTCAGCCCAAGGATTTTCCTTGACGATCTCGACGAAAGCCTCACGAACTTTTAGCCCCAGCTCCTGAAAACTTGGTTTTTTCCGCATAAAAAGAGCAACACCCCACCACAATACTCTTCAAATCCTCGCGATCGTAGACACTGTTCAGCGACATCCAATCCACCCATCGCGGATGATATTCGATCACCTAAATATAAAAAAATAGTGTCTGTGTATGTGTGTGCATTTGCATGCAACTTCCGTCCGTATGTTCCAGTCGTATCTCAATAGGGGAGGAAGTTAAGGGTACGTAGGATACGTCATTAGGTGCGTAATGGTCATGACACGACTGCACGCATCTGAGATTTTTAAAAAACAGCCGTTTTCGATATTAAAATTAAGTTTTTGTGAAAATCTCGCTCAGCCGCTTTGTTAGGAACCAATTAGCATGCACCGGAAGTGGGGGAGAGGACGCGGAGAACCCTATCTAATGGCGGAGAGGACGCGCGTTTCATTTTTTTTGCACAGGAATCCAGGATTTTATGCAAAGTGATGAAGCATGGGGGGTTAGACGGGGGCCAGGGTTGAAAAGTGCGAAGCGGCTTTTCAACCCTGGTTCGATCACCTAAAAATCGGGCTAGACGAGCAACATAGCCATCGTACCTTTTTTGATGCACTCCTTCTCAACGTCCTGGCCAGTGGTTTTTGATTCCTAGAATTTAAAGTACAGCAAAAATAGCATATTATAAAATGCTTCAAAAATTGGAATACCTGCCAAAGAGCGTGATATGAATTGCCGAGCTCGCCAAAGCGGGAGATGAACAGCTCGATGACGAGCGCCTCGAGCACGTCTTCTGGCTGATCGTAGACGATTCGGGTCAGCTGGAAAAGCATTAATATAAATTGAAAAGTACCAAGTCGAGTTTTGACTAAAGAAATACCTTTTCAAAATACGATGCCGCTTGGACTATGACCGAGAAGTTAGTGCCGAAATGCTGGAGATGCGCGTCGAGCTGTGTTTTGAGGTGTAACTAAAAGAACCCGATTCTAATCCGACATCGTCTGAATTACATTCGGGAATCGCGCCGACAATTCTCCAATGTCGTTGAAGAAGCGTTGCGCGTTGTCGCCGGGACGGGTATCGAAAATATAAACCTCCTACCCTTCCTAAAGTGTATAAAGCTAAATGGTATAAAGAGAAAAGGAAAGGGCAGGTTGCCACATTTATATTCCGAGCCTCAAACCACTTCCATATAAATACCAGCGCGCGTTCGGTGTTCAAATGGCAGTATAGATGTGGTTACCAATATACCTGAATGGATTAGAGAACATGTTTATTAGTAGAGAACAGTGGCGAATATATAGGGCACGGATAAAGGGTGTCTGAGGATAAGACAATGTCGAAGACAGGGCGAACGAGAATGTTCAGGGTGTCGAAAGGATGCACTCGCCAGTGGTTTACTGCGCCCCTTCAGTGGTAAACCACTTCCAGGCTCACAGACCTTCTCCAGATCAGGCCGAAACCATCACTGGCCTCCAATCCCTTTCGGGAGAGAAGAAACGAGTTATCCGGGAAGAACCCGAATAATCGCCAGAGGGCCGAGAGGGCGCCGCACAGCCCGCTCCCATACGGTCATCGCGGCGGGACCACCTGGCATATTGCCAACCCCATTACGCCACATAATTAAATCCTCGAAACTGCACCTAGAGAATGGAATTCTCTAGGAAAGTTTCGACACTCCCGGCCAACGCCAAGCCGAGGAGCGCCGCCACCTTAGGGGAGACGGGGAAATTAAGTGGGAGGTTGAGTGGGAGCCTCGCGGCGGCCCAAATTTACAGACTCGTCCGTCCGGCCCGGGGGAAATGGTGGGAACAGAGGGTACCAAATATCAGATGGTATATAAAAGCCACTGTTGGGGGGCGGGAGGACGAAAAATTGTAAGTAAATGACCTAGGGGTGGGGCAGCTAACAATAAAAAATAGTTGGCCGGTGCTAAAGAGCCCGTACTCCTACCGGACCAACTGGGGAAGGGAGGGGAACTTATCGGATTAATGATCAGCTTGTCTGGTCGTTGTCTTGGGGCGAGCACGGGCACGGATGTCCTTCAGGCAGCGCTTCAGTCGTCTTGCGATGAGCTTGAGTCCTTGAGGGCTTGCATCCGGCTTGTGATGTCGCAGCGGTAGTTGTGGTCAGGCTGACCAAAGGTTCCGTTGAACCCAGAGTGTCGCGGGGGGTGGTGTCGTGGCAAGAGGGGAGCGCAAGGAGGGGAAAATCCTCTCACGAAACCTCCTAATGCCAGACGGTGTCGATGTGGACGAGTCTCTGCCAGCCTTGCAAGAAGGGGCAGGCAGGATGTTGGTAAAGGGCGCGTGTCAGTCAAGTCCTTGAGTGGTGACGTCGTCCTCGTTGAAATACTTGCATTGATGGCGCCACTCGACTTGATGAAGTAGTCGCGATGTTGGTGTGGCGTGCTTCGCCGCGAGCTTGATGTCGGTGCGAAGCTGCTTGTTGTCCCAGAGACAAGCGGGCAAAGTTGTAGTAGCCCGTCTCAGTGAAGACTTTCGATGATGATGTCGACTTCGTTGAAGTAGTCGCATTGATGATGACGCTCGACTTGAAGAGGTAGTCGTAGTGTTGGTGTAGCGCCCTTCGGGACGGACTTGATGTCGGTGCGAAGGTGTCGCATGTCGCAGGCGGGCAAAGTTGTCGATACTTCCACGGAGGCGCAGGAACTTGTGACATCACGCAGCTCGCGGCAGCCCAAGTTCCATGAGGGGAAGCGCCGCAGTCGGGGAAGGCGATGAAGTGGGCGAAGTTGTCAATCCGGGTGATCGCTGCTCGCGGCGGCCCAAGATGCAATCGATGCTGCGATTGCTTCGAAGTTGGGGGAGGCGACGAAGTAGTCGATGTCATCGTAGTTTGCGTACAGCCAGCAAAAAGAGCGATGTCTCTTCTCGATCCAAACTTCTCGCGGCGGCCCAATTGGTATTGAGGAGCTTGGCTCTTCCACAGCAGGCGAAGAACGTAAGTGAAGCGGGCTTGTAGACGGGGTGAAGAGACGAGTTGCGCAAAGGCGAGACCAGTCCGTGTTGTAACGCGGGCCAGCTGTCTCGAAACCACCGTCTCACAAGTCGCTGCACTTGGTGGGGGCTCCTTGACGGTGAAGCTGAAGTCGATCACGGAGATGAGGCCAGCGAAGTTTGGACCATCGAGCGGAAAGTCGGCAGCCATGATGTCGCAATGAAGTCGCTCGCATGGGATCTTGTCGGCGGAGCGTGAAGTTGCGACCGCAGCAGCATGTCGCAGTGGCCCGGCTCGCATGAGATGTTGTCGGCGGGGCCTGCGGTGTAGCAGCAACAAAACCGGCATAGACGGTAAATCCAGCGGAGACAGATGTGGGGCACGATTAGCTGGAACGGGAAGTGCAGCACTGTCGCAAAGATGTGGCACAGCAAAGGCGGCGAGTTGATTGTCGAAGCGCCGCAGTGGAGGTAACGAATGATGACGCGCACGTTGAAATTGTACACGGTGGCGAGAGGCGGCTTGTGTCGACGTTGGGCGCACGAAGGCGGTGAGTTGACTGTCGTAGAGCAGCATAGGCGGCGCGAAGATGCGAAAGCTTGTTGGGCGCAGGACTGGAGTGTAGACGAGCAGGACCGGCTTCAGCATTGTGATGGCGAGGAAGCGCTTGTTCTGTCCAACCTTGGATGATCAAGTTGCCAAAGTGTGGCAGTCTGCTTGAGAGCTGCTTGCAACTTGAGGGGTTGTTCGAGGAGCTCGAGTTGAGGTGGCGGCGTTGGCGGACGGATAGAAGATGGTGCAGCAGATGAGGAGGCTCAGCCTTGTTGAACTCGGGCACACAATGATGAAGCATGAAGCACGAGCATCGGCGGCTTGACCCAGAAATGCAGCATGCGACGGTGTGTCGCGACGACGAGCCGAAGCGGCTTGAGCAGAGAACCGCAGCAGGAGACGAGGTATGGTGACGACGAACAGCATCGGCCTGGGCACTTTGATGTCGAGGCAACGCCGGATTGGTCGATGAGCACTGACGGGCTTGTCAGTTGTCTCCTTCATCCTTGCGAATGTCTTTTTTTTTCTCCGCACGAGTGTCGCCACACCAACAACTAGAAAATCCTTTAGTATACCTTGATACAGCTAGCTGCAGAAACTTTGAAGCTTCTACAGGAAGTGTACTTGAAGGCTTCCTGAAGTGCAGTGCTTGAGGTGTCGGGCTGGCGCTGGCGCTTGGAGGACTGATGCGGCACGATGGTGAAGCTACGTCTTGTGGAACGCGGACACGCAAAGATGACGTAGGTGTCGCATCTACACGATTGGTTGCATCGGCTGTCGACTTGACTTGCGGGCACATGTTGTCCATTAGATGGCGGCCTCTGGTGGTCATCCTCTTCTTTTTGGGCCATTGTTTCTCTTCAGAACGTCATCTGAAAAAAAGTGTCGAAACGGCTCCAAAGATGTCTGGCAATCTTGTAGCATCAGTGTCTCGGGCTTGACCGTAGAGCTGGATCACATCGACTGGTAGCAGCGCGGCGAGTTTGATGTTGTTGCGCCGGCTTGTTTGATGTCGATGGTCCGTTCCTTGAGCACGATTGACTGGTGGAGAAAGCCAGTCCCTTGAAGTCGCGTATCGAAAGTACAATTCAACCTTGTGTCTCGAGTTTGCGAAGGGCTGATATGCAGGAGCCAACGTTGTCGAGGTGGCGTCACAAAACATTCGGTGTCGACGTGTGGCTGTAGAGTAGCACAAGCGTCGCCGAGTGACTTCGTAGGCGCCCAAGAACGAAGTAGAGGTTCACAGCTTCCACAAGGTCGATGCTGCATGGCCGCTGGAGCTTGATGTCGATTTGCAACACGCTTGTTGTATAGTGTCCATTTGTCGCTGCCTCCGTCTGCAAAAGAAAAAATTTGATGAAGAAGAAGCAGGGAACAGCGGAACGGCGGGCAAGTGTTGAACTTGTAGTGGCGCGTGACGGGCTTGAAGAGCTGAGATGGCTGCCTGGGCTGTCCTTGATGGAAGTTGAGGCAGCTTCAGCTTGACCTGATGTCACGGCCATGGCTCATCAGCGCGTGTAGCGAACCAGCGGTGTCGGCAGCATGTGTCTTTGAAGAAACGATGTCTTTTCTTCATTACGATGTCCCGCGGCAACAAGACTAAGCAGTTGAAAAGGTAAAACAACCTGATTCGTCGAGCAGCAGACAGCGTCTTGAACTCGACTCGTTGGGGCTGAGGAGTTTCCTTTATTGCTGATGCTGCTGCTGTCGAGGTACTGCAGAGCTTAACTTGTTGTCGGGGCACAGCCAGCAGTAGAGAATCGCGCCGCCTTGTGTCGCTGGGGCGCCATCTTGAAGTATTTGTCGCTGCCGCCGGACAAGTTGTAAGTGTCGGCAGCCAGCGATGATTGCACCCGCTGAGCAGTGTTGCTTCGCATCGAAGCTTCGTTGTAGTGACGTGAAGTCGAGCGCCACTGACGCAAACCTGTAGTTGTGAAAGTGTCGCAGAAATATTGGCTCGCGCCGCAAATCGCTGACAGCAGTCACGCCGAGAAAAGCAGCAAACCGTTGTCGCTTCATCGCTGAACGGCGCGCTTGCATTATAGAGACGCAGATCAGGGGCGGAAGACGGAAGAAAGTCGCTACTTCAGACATGTAGAAAGCCTCGCTGGAAGAGTCTTGACCATTGAAGTCCAGATTGAAGTCGCTCGGGAGCCTCGCTTGAAGCGATGAATCTTGTCGCGAGGTCCTTGCAACCATTGAGTCCATCGCCGAGCGGAGAACACGAGATGTCGAGGCCGCTGCACAACGTTGTCGATTGGGCGCGGATTGGCATCCACACATTGTAGGCGCGAAGGGCCATGGATGTCAATGTCTCTTTGTCGAGATGTTCGAAGCTTCTTCGACCGCGCTTGATGTGTAGAGGCTTGTCGACGGGCACGAAGAACGTCGCTTCAGTGCGTAGAGCATGTAGAAAGCTTGACCGATGCGTTGAACGAACATTGACGCCGGGCGCAAAGGTTCTCGTTGTCGTCGCAGGCTAACTGTCGAACGAGGAAGACGAGATGTCGAGCGGTTCTTGCCTAAACTTTCAATGCGGAATGTGTCGCAGAAATAACGGCTCGCGCCGCAAATCATTGACAGCGGTGACGCAAAGACGCAAACGGCCTAACGTTGGCGATTGGACGTTGAGTGGCATCCTGCCCGCAGGACGAGGAATGTCGCTCCTTGACGTGCAGAAGCCGGTAAACGGGCGCCAAAGTTCCTTGTAGGCGCCAGGCACACTGCCAGAGAACGTCCATAGTGTCGCTTTTGGTGTCGCAAGTCTTCAGCTAGCGCGGCAGACCGTTCTTGTGATGACGAGCAGCCTGCGGAGAAAAAGAAGAACTTTGAAAAAGACTTGCGGACTCCAGGTGTCCGGTGTGGGGATGTCGCGTTGCTTTGAAGTCGTTGCTGCCCTGCCGTTGTCTTGATCCGCTGCAACTCGAGTGTCCCTCAGCTTCTGTAGATACTTGGTGCACGCCCTGTGAAGTTGACCTTGTTGATGGCGGCGGCAGAAGAAGCTTGAATTTTGTGGAGTGGACAGCGAGTTGTCGAGGACGGCTCCAGTGGGAGCTTGTCGGGCAACAGCATGGCTCGTCTGCGGCAGGTAAGCAGAAGGGCGGCAGCAAGTGTCTCAAAGAACACGATGTCGCCCTCACCGAGTGTCGAAAAAAAGCAGTACAAGCTAGAGATAAACTCTAACTCGCATGGCAAGTTGTCGCGAGAAATGCAAAAGTAAAAGTCCAAATCAAAGCGTTGAGCAAACAATAAGAAACTTGAAAAAACGAATGCTTGCTCGAGCAAATTTGGAGTTTTTGAACGTAAAATCTCGAGCAAACAAAACGAAATTCCAAAATTTCGAATCGTTAGGGCCAACTTTAGCGACGAATCGTAAGTGGCGCGCCCAACACTTTAAAAAGAACCTTACTTTTACAAATCCGACATCGAGAAGTGGATGTAGAAAGCATTGCCGGGCTTGACCAAGAGTGAAGCATCCATCTTTCATCCGCAACTTCAGTGTAGGCTTCTTGTGTTGGGTCATCGTCGAACCATTGGAAGTTGGATGCATCATCGGTGACGGCAGAGCTTGCTTCGTAGGAAGACGAGTGTCGAGCGGCAAAATGCCAGTGTCGCGGTGGCCGAAGCCAGTGTCGAGGGTGGCCGAGGCCGGTGTCGCGGTGGCCGAAGCCGGTGTCGGGTTTGAAAAACTAAGGAAATAAATTCCAAAGTTATTTCAGGTGTCGCAAAATAGTAGACAAAAGATGAAGCAACGCGAAAGGGAAAAAATTCACACATGTCAACGCAGAAATATTTGAAATGAGCTTGCGCAATGTCGATTTCGAGAGAAAGGAAGGATCTTTGTCAGCCGGCGAATCAGCGGAAGGCGGGTGTCGATTCACGAAGCCTCCGCGCCATTCCTTGAACTGTTGCCCGGCTTGCAGAAGAGGCTTCTTCCATTCTTCGTGCATCGCAGCGGCTTGACTTGAACATTGGGACCATGTGGAGCGCGCATTGTTGAAGACGCATCAGCAATCACGTGGTGTCTTGCCAGGTCGATCCTTGTTGCATCACCGAGTGTCTAAAAAAACGATGTCGTATTTTGCGAAAACGCCCGAGTGTCGCGGTGAGAAAAATGCAAAAAAGTGGGCCAGTGAATTGCAAAACCAAACGACTTTCTCAAGGTCGTTGGCGCAAAACACCTCGTCGACAGCAATCCATGCGTTGTTGGTGTTGTTGACGCAGGAACGGGTGTCGGGCTTGAGATCCTTGTGCAAGTGTCGATCAGTTGTCGCTGCTTCAGTGGGCTCGAGCGTGTAGTGTAGCTCATCCGTCCAACATGTCTTGAACTTGATTGGGTTGACGCGCTTGATCGGCATGTTGTCGACTATTGCAGGCTTGTGGTGTCTGAAACAGGCAGCATCAAAGAGGACGAATTGAAGCGTGAAGCGAACGAGGACAAATCAACACCGCAGAATGAAAATCAAAATGAAAACCGCGTAATGAAAGCGCGAGAGTGGAATTTGGAATTTTGAAAGGCAAAAGAAAAGAATTTTGAAAAACGAAAAGTAAAAATAAATTTAGAAAACTAAAATGAAATTTAGAAACCGAAAGTTGTAAACAAAAAGCAAAATACAAACGCGGAAAGAAATGAGCGCGGAAAGAGCGAGGAAAATTCAAAAAATGTGAGCGGGCCGAAAATTGAAACGGCTCTTCCGCAGCACACCTTTGAACCCTCGGGTCCCACCACACGCAAATCTCATCCATTACGCGATATCAATTCAAAAATCAAACCAGCGATATCAAAGTGTGATCTCGCAAAGGGATCGCTTTTGGTCGAGAAGATTGTGCAGCACTCAGCGGAAGTGTAGAAAACATCGTAGAGCATGTAGAGTGAGCAGCAAAGTAGTTTGGCCAGTGTTTCTTGCACGTAGACGGCTTCTCGGGGACCGTTGTCGTAGCAGAACACCTCTTCGCGTGGCAAAAAGCCAGTGTCGGGATTGAAAAACTAAGAGAATAAATTCTCAAAGTAATTCGGGTGTCGCAAAATAAGAAGAATCCATGCAGCAAGTGTCGATAGATGGGAAGCGTGTCGAGTTGATGCCGTAATATCACCGGCGTAGTCGAGGGGTCTCGTTCAGCACATCAGCTCGGCAGAAAGCAGGTGTCGAAACATGGCTGCACTTTCCGTGAACTGCGGCCGGCTTGTCGGAGACTTCTTCCACCATCTTACGCAGCTTGTCGCCGTAACTTGAGAAGAAGCTGCATCCAGTTCTTGACCAGGTGTCGAGCGCTTCTAAAAGATGTCTTATAAAGCGAAAATCCCAGATGTCGGGTGAGAAAAAAAAATCCTTGTAGGCCAGTGAAATGCAAAACAAATGGCTTTCTCAAGGCCATTGTCGCAAAACACCTCGTGGAGGGCGGTCTTCGATCGAACACATGTAGTCGCGCAGCAAACTTGAACAAAGTAGACGCTTGATGACGAGTAGACGTCCAGCTTGATTGTCTTGAGCAGAGCAGATGGAAGTTGTCGCATTTGCGCTTGACCAAGTGTCGAAAACAGGTTGCGCCGAGTGTCGACTTCTTCTTTCCTTGAGACATTGGTGACGAGTGGAGGTTGGGGCCATGGAGAAGGTGGACGCGAGATAGGAACAGCAGCTGGCCCATCCTTCCGCGCACAGAACACCATTGGGGCAACCATCGAACACGCATCCCATGCTCATTTCATCCTGTAAAAGACAAAGAATATCCAAAAATCACCTTTTATTTTGTATCCACTCGTATAGTCTTGCCCATCGCTTCTTCTGCTGATGAGTGGCGATCCTCTCCACCATTCCACGGCAATCGTCTTTCCATTCGCAGCGGGCTCGCGTGGGCTTTGCAAACATGGATTTGATAGTTCCGTGGGCCGGCTTCATGGGGAACACACCGCGCCCTGGCGTCAAACCCAAGGCCATTTGCGTGATCTAAACACACAAAGCAGGAAAGTTACCACGGCCGTGGCTGATCGCACACATCCGCACAAAACGCGCCCGTCGGCAGTCTTGTCGAAGAGAGCAAGGGTGTCGCGAGCCATACATCCTTCACCATTCTCTTGTCGAAAGCATTGTCCATCGGCATAGAGGCAGAATTTGACCGGGTTTTAACCACGGCCGACGCACCATATCGAAAACATAAACCTCCTACCTTTCCTAAAGTGTATAATGCTAAATGATATAAAGAGAAAAAGGAAAGCGCAGGTTGCCACATTTATATTCCGAGCCTCAAACCACTTCCATATAAATACCAGCGCGCGTTCGGTGTTCAAATGGCAGTAATAGAATGTGGTTACCAATATACCTGAATGGATTAGAGAACATGTTTATTAGTAGAGAACAGTGGCGAATATATAGGGCACTGATAAAGGGTGTCTGAGGATAATACAATGTCGAAGACAGGGCGAACGAGAATGTTCAGGGTGTCGAAAGGATGCACTCGCCAGTGGTTTACTGCGCCCCTTCAGTGGTAAACCACTTCCAGGCTCACAGACCTTCTCCAGATCAGGCCGAAACCATCACTGGCCTCCAATCCCTTTCGGGAGAGAAGAAACGAGTTATCCGGGAAGAACCCGAATAATCGCCAGAGGGCCGAGAGGGCGCCGCACAGCCCGCTCCCATACGGTCATCGCGGCGGGACCACCTGGCATATTGCCAACCACATTACGCCACATAATTAAATCCTCGAAACTGCACCTAGAGAATGGAATTCTCTAGGAAAGTTTCGACAACGGGCCTAAAAACTATTTTTTTCCTAGATATTTTCTTAGGTTATCCTATAAACCTTCAAAGCCCTACAGCTTCAAGCTTGTTTAACAGGTCCATGTAGCCGTTGAGGCCCTTTTCGAGCCGTTCTTCCGACAATGTCGACCCGAAGTCGGCGGCCAATTGCAGAGATAGCTGCAAAATCAGAATTTCGCCCCTGCAATTGATATGAAACCTTCTCGACCAGGCTCCTTCGTTTTGGCACGTGCTCGGGGAAGAGTTGGGCGATCGAGGCGAGCACGATTCCAAGGAGTTCGCCGTCGAAATAGCGCATCGGCTGGAAGAAAGGGAACACATCACCGCCCGTCAGCCGAATGATTTCTTCGTAGGATGGCCGAGATGAGGCGGTGAATGGGGGCCCGCCCAGCTGCGTCACAAGCTCGCGGAACTGTCTGGAAGATTGGAAATTAGCTGTAAATAAGGTTCCGACTGGACTCCTCCATGTTGAGTCTCGATGCACATGTTGTAGACCTTGTGCACGATACGATCCGCGTGAGTGGCCGAGGCATTGTGGGGGACGGCGACGAGGAATTCTAAAAGCTTGAATAAGTAGAAAAGGATAAAAAACTATCTAAGGCCTTGAAAATTGTTGAAAAAGTGGATTTGGTCAAAAATCGGCCATTTTTGGTACTGGAACCTTCTACCCACCTTTTATCTTCGTGTGAAGCAGAGCCTCGAGGCCCAACGGCGTGCCGGTCATCATATCGCCCGGTTTCAACGGATTGTCCTGTAGACAGGTAACCTGGGTTGAAGTCACAAATCCCTGCATACCTGAACCCATTTCCCGCATGCAAAGTCGAAGAAGTCGTTGCACGGGTTGCTCGAGGGGAGGATGATGCTTTTCTAAAACAAAAATATGTATTAAACTAGTCACATTCATCGGTTCTAGGTTGTTAGGGAGGGGAGGGTTATTTTTGCAACGCCATTCGATAAAGCGTCGAAAAATACACTAAGAGTTTTAATTTGAGCCTACACTAATGTAAAATAAAAAAGTTATAGCCAAAGACTTCCGGCTGGGGGTAAAGTAAACCGTAGCCAAAAAAGTTTTTTAAATGCTAAAATTGGCGGTTAAAACTTAAAAATAGCACG